GTAGGGCTGAGTTAGCCTACAAATGCTATTTCTCCCTGTTTTGAGAAATCTCACCAAATGGTCTTATATCTATACTAAGCAATAAAGGAGGAAAGCTGTTCCTGAAAAAATACACCACCTAGTTTATCCTGCAGCTATCATCCATTCTTGCTGTCCGACAAATCTTTGAAGGGCAGCCCCAAACATGCTGGCAGAATCTAGTAGTGCCAAAGCAACAGCCTGTGGCAAGTTGTACTCAGAGGTTGCCAAAGTATCCATTGTAACCAGAGGATTATGTCTGGCAGTAGTCTGAAATAATTCTGAATGCCAACAGTCTTCAGTTCTAGAGGGACCTGAATACGGTTGGACTGCCACCAGGTGAGTCACTGGTATGCAGGGCTCACGCAGTTTCCCTTGTCCAGAGGCAGGAAGGTTAGATACCTGCTGGCATCAGTAAATGGTTTCTGGGCTCCATCCATTCACTGCAGTTCAGAATAATTATTTCTCAACTATGTCAGTAATCCAAATCCATCAACAACGACCATACAATCAACTAAGCCATGAAAGCCAAGTGAAGCTAGAGACATATTTTTCTGTTAAACCAATGACATTTTCATAGCTCAATCCAAGTTCTCAGTGGACAGATAATGTGGAACATCTTCGTGTAGAACAACTAGAAAGAGCAGAAGTCCCATCTGGAAGGTGCAGGACAATTGGGACGGATCAGTAGAACTACTAGTGCATAGAAGGGAGGAAGAAAAATTGACATCCAGGCCCTCATGATCCTGTGGAGGTAAAGAAGCAGGTTCTTATTAGCTAGGAAACAAAATTCAGAAAGCTCAAGAAGCAAGCTTTTCATGTGCTAATGATGCTGGCAAGCCCTGAAAGGAAATGTCTCAGGTCAGACTTTGCAAGGAAAGCATTAAAGGTAAGTATTAACATTGGTGACTACTTAAAAAGAAGAGAAATAGACTTTTAACTGCTCCAAACAAATCATACTTGCTGTGCAACTAAGATAAGTGGATGGGTGAACAAACATCGGCTGTACCGTAGGTTGAGTATATCTCCATGGAAACTCAGTCATGTTCTGAACTCAAATTGTGTTCTGCATGATGATTCAAAATTCAAAGCAGTGGGATAGATTTTTCCCATGTGTAACGTGTATGTGCCAAGTCCCACTACAGAATGGAGGTCTGACCACCCATAAAATTTAGGATTTCCCTGGGACGATTTTGGGGAAAACAAACAAAAAAGGGAAGCAAGAACAGGTAGGAGGAGATCTGGGGGAATATTTGGCTAATCATATAGCCCCTTTACTTCTAGTCTTGGACAACTTAGGCAAAATTTTTAAGGATGTTGTAGCTCCTGTTGGAGCAGTGGTTTTGCTGAACTCCAGGTAGGTGGAATATTAATACAAGTGCAAGTGGAAGCTATTCACCATTTTTAGCAAGCTGGAAGAGAAAGAGGCTTGATAGAAAGAATCAGAGACTAGAACAAGTTGAGTGTCATATTTTAAAAATAACAGTTTAAAAAACAGTGCAACTCAAGCCAGCCTGCTGAGGTTAAGAAATTAGTTCTGAATCCTTTAGGCCTGTGTCAAATGCCTAATTAGACTTAAAGAACAAATGAACTTGGCATTTGTTCATCCCAATACTAATGGGATGGCGCACATTCCAACCTGTGCTCTCCTCCCAGTGTGCAGCTGCCAGCCCCTACTTGTGAGAAGCAGAGGTGGAAAAGTGGAGGTGTTATAAGCTACATCATCAGAAATTACACATGGTTTGGGTTGTATGAGAGGAGCTTCACATACAGAGAATCCTCAGGCAAATCACAACCCTTAGTTTGGCACCCTCTCAAAGGCTAAATCAATTCCTTAATTTTAAGAACCCTTTCTTTATCAGATCTTTTGTGCTGTGACTCCTGCATGGAAGTAAATGCACTTTCCTGTATACTGGGTTGTCTGAAATCCATCAGAGTAAATGGCTTTGATGGGATTTATTGCTCGAGCTGTACAGGGTGACATGCATCCCATCTGCTGAGCTTTATGTTCAGATGCCCTAAACTCTCAAACAGAAACACACACCACCCATGCTGCACACACATAGGCATGTGCAGCTATGATGCTAAATTTCAGGGGGAGAACAGGCACAATCCCATCAGATAATTTGAGCTGGCCCATCAGAGAAGTACAATGTGCCCTTTTGTTATATCTCTTCAATTTCATGAGCCTGAGCTCTTCTCTGATTGAGGGATTCAGTTTTATGTTTTTATAACCAGTGAGAAAACATCCTTACTTTATAAAAGGAAATGTATCACTTGTTCTCAAAAGTATCAGATTGATGGCTCATGTCAAAGGTTTTATAAGCAGGAAAAAGGCTACTATCTTCTGTAAACCGTTCCACCTGGATACCTCTGCTGCAGGCTCTGAAAGGAAGCAGGTAGGTCGAGTCCTACTGAAACATCAAGCTTAGCTTCTCTGTAGAGCATGCAAGAAGGGCAGGTGCTAGCAAAGAGGTCTGCGTGCAAGGTCGTAACTTAGGACCTGCAGACTGATTTGAAACAGAATGTAACCTAACAGTGCCCAGTTTCTGCTGATACTGTGCTCAAAATCAAAGGGTGAGACCTTCCATATTTTCTTACCAAGGCCAGCTTAGAAGTTTCCCCGTGCTCAAAAATTAGGAGAGTGGGATCACATGCAGGCTCTAATTAAAGATTTTAAATCCTTTGAAAAATGGTTAGAACAGCTTTGATGCTGAGAGGCTCCTTGTGCAGTGGCATGCTTGGAGCCCGGACTGAGCACTCTGTGGGGGAAGGGACCAGAGCATTAAATAAAGCTACTTGTTGTCTGCCTGTAAAATTGGCCTCTAAAGGGAGTGCCACAGAGCACCATCCATTACCAAGTGACAGAGAGTAATTTTCAGCTACTCTGGACAATACCGTAATTAAACTCTGTGTGTTCCTGTTCAATATGGTTGGTTGTGGGTTATTCAGCTTAATATTTACAAAAAGGATAGCTCTCTCCCGTGCCACCTTAACCCTGGGCTGTTTTTCTCTTTCCTTCCAGATGCTGGAGAGCTCTTCAGTCCTTTTGTTCATTGTCTTCGTCCTGCTTTTCATTTTACTGCTCTTTGTGGTGCTCATCAGGAAAAACGGCACTGCTGCCCTTATCTGGAATGAAATAATCCGGGAGAAAATAACCAATTTCATCATGAACCAGAGCAAAGAACAGAGGATTTTAAATTTTGTGCTGCAGAATGCAGTCCGAGGAGACCCCTGTAGTGTGCTGGACACTATAGATAAGTACTGCTCCCAGAAAGAGTGGGCCATGAATGTGGGCGATGAGAAAGGTAATTGCAGCAGGGATCAGCACTTGAAAAGTCCTTCAAGACTGGCATAGTACAGGACATCTTACTGTATTCGCATGGTAACTTCCATCTGCTGCAAAAATAAAAAAATTCATAACAGCCTTGTGGTCAGCAGAGTAGTTCTGTAAACAGTAATGTATGCTTGTGCAGATGTCTTTGAGGAGGGGTATCCAGTGAGTAATCCAGGAAGTCATAGGACCAAATCTGCATTTGTATGTTGTGTACGTTGCAAGTGTGTAAGCAGAGAGTGACAATTTATGGGAAAAATGTAGGGTTGCATTATACCTCAGTTCCTAGACAGGGTGGCCTTACGGCATAATTCATTAAGTACCTTCAGATCCTTAACCGAAAGATAGTAAATTGAAAACAGAGGTATTTTGAACTATATGAATTTTGTATATGCAAGCATAAGTTGTAAGTTACTGTTGAGGGGAGAAATCCTACCCATGTAATACACAAAAGCAGCTATCAGAAATTGTTGCTACTTAGCAAGTAAATCATCTTGTTCTTGCCTTCTAAAGGAACATATGTGGACAAAACATTTTTTTTTTAGCTGCAGGAAAGTGACAGTCTTTTCAAAAAACTGTAATGGCAAAATGTTAACATGTTCCCTTATGAATTAGACACAAAAGTACCTCTTGCTGGGAAATTGCAGGGGAAATTTGCTTAGTCTGGGATTAATATAGCTAATGAAATACAAATGTAAGCATTGCAATAAAAATGCTTCTCTGTCATGGGTACATTTTGTGAAACTAGCTCCTCTGCATGCCATTCTTAGGGCAACAGAACAGTAGCTGGCGGCTGAGTAGGAATTCTTAAAGCTCTAAACTTTGATCATTTGGGATTATATTTTTTAAAAATTTCACTAGTTTTGCTCTGACAAGATGACCGTTCCTCAGATAAAAGCCATCAAAGTCAATGCATCTTTCAATTTGAGAGTGATCACACGATCTCAAGATGCAAGCATCTTCATCACACTATTCATAAACAAATGACACCCAGGAAAATATCACATAATGAAATGTATATGTGTATTAAAAAATTCCAAGGCTCAGAGTAAAATTCCTTCATCTAGTTTCTAGCCATACAAGTAAGAGGAGACAGTTTTCTCACAAATAAATCCTTTTCTTCTGAAGGACTGAATGCAGTACACTGTCACTTCTTTTTGGGAATATTTTTTTGTTGTTAACAATTGACTAATGTTTTCCATCCCACAAATTCATCTACTGAATAAAAAAATTTTGGAATTTTATAACTAGACTTTTCTTTTTCCCTTTAAAAACAAGTATTTAGCATGAGAAATTTTGTATCAGACTACTGCATGTAACATTTGCAACAAATATGAGCACTCAAAATTCAGGAGTTATATATTTCACAAATATGGCCAGTTTCTGCAATAAGTTCTTGCAAAAAACCACTGCATTTTCCCCTTGTAATGCTATAAATATTTGAGTTCATTCAGGCATTTCCTTACTCAGAAATGTTTATAAGTAAGATTTTTTTAGTTGAAAGTTTGCATTTTGAAACTTAGAATGTCCATGAGCAACTTGATCACAGATAAGCCAATTTACAAAGGAAATACTATATAATTTGACACCAACCCTTAATTTTTGAATGTCTTGAGCAACTGAGTACACAGACTTTGTAAGTTTCTTGTCACTAACTTGTTCTTCTATATGTGAACCAGTTTGATTTTGTCAAAAGTTAACCTATTTCCATTTTATTCAGGTTTAATTCTAGACAAGACAGTGGAAGAGGTCAATCCATCAGTTGCACTGGAGCTGGGAACATACTGCGGCTACTCAGCAGTTAGAATTGCTCGGCTACTGAAGGCAGGAGCTCACCTTCTCTCTGTGGAGTTCAACCCAGAATTTGCTGCTATAGCTAAACAGATGATTGAGTTTGCTGGAGTACAAGATAAGGTAAATATAATTTTTCTCTGGTTGGTATGAGGAAGCAATACATGGAGAGTGGGACTTTAGCCACAGAAACAACAATAATAGGTTTAAATTTGTTTTTTACTTGTCAAGAAAGTATGACACCCTAAGGGGGAACATGCAGAGTTTAACCATCAGGCTTGATAGCAGGGAAAAGCTACCAGTGTCCATACCAAGGACCGAGGTCGTCTGCTCTTTCATATATACTGTGCAAGTGAGCTAAATTTGTTAGCATCAGTCAGGGGTCCAAGTACAATGCAGACCCAACTGAGAGTCAGCCTAGAGTTTGAGGCTTGTCAATATGTGTGTCTGTGTATGACCAAAACAATCAGGGCTGCTCTCCAAAGTTCTTTGCTATGTGAGTCAGGATGAAGATTCGAAGGGGCAAGATCAGAAACAATCATATACATCCGTATCTCCTTAACTTTTTGAAAGCATTTAGATTTCATCTTCCAGTTTGGCCTCTTCACTGTTCACTGGTTAGTACAGTAGACAGGCCATTTGCTGAGAGCTGTTTTCAAAACCCATAGTGACTGTAAGAATAATACAGGCCTGGAGGGAGGCTCCAGAGTCAGTTTTTTCACTTACTACAGTCACAGGACATCAGCAAACACAGTCCTTTTCATAAAATTAGTAACGACTATTGCAAAACTGGTTAGATTTACTGCCATTATTGAACTGCAAGACTGCCCTACAGATTCCTCCTCCTGATAATCAAGAAGCCTTTCTATGATTTCCATCCGACATTTATTCATAGACATTTTGTATTCTTTTTTTTTCTTGCATCCACAGTCCTTATTAATTTAACTAGCTTCATGCCTAGTTACAGTCCCTGACTTCTACAGCAGTACAGCTGAGGACTTCACTGTTACCTCCCAAAAGCTAGACTAGAATATTGTTTTTCTCTATATAAACTAAAAGGTTCAAATTAGTGTCAAGACTGAGTGCAACAGAAAGCTGAACCATAGTCTAATTTGTTACAAAAGCTTACAAGAAGCAGTTGCATTATGTGCAATGGACTTCAGATGAGAGGTACTTACCCAAATCTAGTTGGTCACAATATATATATACCTAAATTTTGTGCAATCTGAGGTGTCTTGACTCTATGTACAGTTGGTTGAGATGTAGGTATTTCCAGTCTATAATCCATCTCAGCCCAAGGCAGACATCTACAGCAGGTCAGGGGATTCATGCCTGAGAAGTGCCTGCCTATTCAACTAGACAACTCACTTCAAAGTAGATGATAAAACTAGAGGAAATAAATCCCACCATGAGATCTTCTAATGTATTAACTTCTTGAAGAGAACCTGAAGTACTAGTGACATCTGAAATTGCATTTTCCCCATCTGATTTAATCTCTTGATCAGCTATGAGTCATAAACCAGACAGACTTCCATACTGCTTTTTTCCTCCACTCACAATGTATGGTGCTTGCTTAACAAATCAATGTGCAGCAGCTTCTTTCAGTTTAACAGTGCTTATGCCAATAAACCTGTGAGGAAGATGTAATAACCTCTGTCCTGCCTCCTCCCTCTACTGGCCATATCGATTTTACATACTGTAGCCTCCAGCTTTATTCTAAACTAACCTGTTCTCTGTATTTTTTGCTTCCCTTGGACTAAAAGATTCAACTGAGATGTAACTAAAAAAGTAATTAAAAGTACTGTTTTCAACAGGAGATTCCCATGTTTCCAGTAAAGAATCACATTATGCAACAGAAACAACAGGTCACTTTTTCTGCTATCATTAAAAAAAACCCCAAACCACCCAAACCCATATTTTAGAACATAACTGAGTTGATTTGTCAAAAAGAAAAAAGTACACTTGATCTAACTCTATGAAATAATTCAACTGAGGCAATATTGAGCTATAAACAGGATCGCTGATGTCTGGCCACAATTTAAAATGAGCTAGAGGTGTGTGCTTTTTCTTAATGGTTCACAATTCATCAGATGGATTTGCATTTCAGGTAAAACTCCTAGAAGGCCCTTCAGAGGAAATTATCCCCCAGCTGAAGAAAAAATATGAAGTGGATACTCTGGATTTTGTCTTCCTGGATCACTGGAAAGACAGATACACACCAGACACCATCCTGCTTCAGGTCAGTTTGCACAATTCCAGTCTTAAAAGTAAAGTAGCAAATGCCTTGATATTTGTGAGGCCTATATTCTTTATGAAGGACCTCATCCTCTGTAAAATGAAGAATGGCAGCCAAAATAGCAACCTTACAAGAAAAGAGGATTTGGGGGACAGGATCCAAAACTTTTGTCACGGATAACTGCTGACACTACGTAGCTCAAGACTTGGCAAATACTGTTGAACCATTTTGTTTCCTGAACAAATGGATCTGCAGTAGAAATCCCAGGAGGGATCCCTGGAGGAGTGCATGGTCTGGGTCTTACGCTCCCTAGAAGGAGTGTCTGCATGGTCACTAACTGGAACACTTGACCCAAAACCATCCTGATGCTGGGAGCAGGTGAGACTTAGGACCTGCATATCCCAACTCCACCTCTCTAATTTCCTCAGTACCCCTTTTTTTGCCTGGGTCTGTGGTGCCAGCAGAGCCTTTTGATGAAATACTATTTTGGTAGCACAGCTGGGTATCAACTTTCTGGGAGTCTTTACGCCACCTAATTAACTGGCCGCAAAGCAACCTTTGGAGTGCAGACTGCCCCTGTCAGACACTTGCTAGGGAAGTGCTGTCCAACTCCCTCTCCAGCCCCGAATGTGGAAAAACTATGCTCGTTTCTTCCTAACCTGCCTTAACCATTACTGTCAGCATTGCAAAACAAGTTGGCTGTAACAGCAGTAGGCAATGATAGGTGAGGTAACTACTAGAGGACTTCTGGATACGAAGGTATTTCCAAGTGTTAAATAACAGATTCACATCTCTATCTATCAACATAGCACATACAGATACTCTCCTAGCTTTGGAGCCGCAGGCTATCAAATTTTCTACAACTGCCTAACTATTTGTATGGAAGTGTCATTTTTCAATTATTTTTTTCACAAATAAATCCACTTTTTCTGAGGTTGCCTGTTACATTGAGAACCTGCCAACTACTTCCTGACCCCTACTTGAGGACTACAACATTATTTTCTCATCCAGGCTCTCCTGTTTTTTAATTTCAGCCCTGTCCTCCAGATAGCTGTTTGAAAAGGAAATTTGTTTGGGGTTATGAACAGCCGGTATTGAGTTTACACAGCAGTAGCTGAAGAAAATGTTCCCTCCCTACAGTTATTTTGTACCTAGAGAATGTTTTCTTTTAAACTGGCTGTGTAAGGATGACTGAGCTCTTTCCACTGCGAAGAGCTAGCACATCCTTATCAGAGCTTAACCTTCACAACACAGACAAAACAAACAGGTAGTTCCATCATAGTGGTCAGTTTGATGCAACTGTCACACCAAGCTGCTTTGCTTAAAAAAAAAAAAAAGTATGAAATTAAGAGGAAAAGATGAAGAAAAGATCCCCACATTTTCTCAGATGTTACAAACCTTCTAAAATGCAATTTTGGCATGTATTGCAATATGAATAGTGAATATGAAATATGAATAGGAAATATTCAGATGAAATACATATTTGAAAGTGGCACAGATAGCATTCCTTTTCATGTACTTCTAGAAAAGCCTGACACAAAAACCATCTGAAATCCTGATGACCAGTGGAAAATACAGCATGTTGTCACTCTGTAGGCTTCTATAAGCTGTGCAACAGACCAGACAGTATTTGCCATGTCTCTAAAATTGCTTCTACTGTGCTGACTGGTATTCAGTCACCAGAGGCAAGAGCAGTAAGCTAAACAGCCTCCGCAGCACACTCATCCACAGGATTTCTCTAATATGCTGGGAGTGACAAAAACCACCCCATGTTTTGGCTACAACTGCTGCCTGTAAACACAGGATAACAACCAGCCTGATTAACTACAGACTCTTTTAAAACAGCTGGTAAGCTCAGATAAGCAACTTCTACTAGACAAAAATACCAGTAAAAATTAGGTTTGTAGGTTTACTGAGGATAAACATTGCACTTGAAGTGAATATTGCAAGTTAATTATGCCTTGTGGAAATTTGTCAGAGTGGTCTTCATTGTGCACAAACGCTGCTTCATGCCCAGCTCCTGAACAAAGTGGCAGAAAATTGTACAAGATGAAAGGAAAACAAGCGCAGAAAATCTCTTTTATTCATTTAGTGGTTTTGGAGTTTGACGAAGACTGGCCAAAGCAGACTGGTACATGACAGTCTCTCAGGTGACCTTAAGAGCTACTACAACATTTTAATGTAGTATTAAAAACATTAGGCATGAGAGCCAAAACAAAACCATTTTACTGATCATGTAGGCATAGTTGGAAACAATCTGAGCAGTAAACTGAGTGGCAAACCGCATGCCTCCACTGCACTTGATTTGCTATTTCAGAACCTGAATGACCCAACATGTTATCAGCATCTCTAATGTTCTACCGATTGTGTTAACAGAAAAAGTCAGCATATTAAACGTGACCACAAAGGACCAGAGAGATACTCGGCTTCTCCCATGTCTTTTCTTCCCTTCAAACCTGTAGTACAATGGGGTTTTGGATGCAGGCACTTGAGTATGACATGGTTAACACGAAAGCACATTATATTCAAGCCAATATCTGCTTAACAGCCACCATGAAGCAATTTCTCTTCTTTCCAGGAATGCAACTTGCTGAGGAAGGGCTCAGTTCTTCTGGCTGACAATATCATCGTCCCAGGAGCTCCAGAATTCGTTAACTATATCCGTAACAACCCCCGTTTCCAATGCACTAACTACCCATCTCATCTGGAATATATGAAGGTGGAGGATGCTATGGAAAAGGCTGTGTTTTTGGGATAAAGAGAACCATTAATACTCAACCTTTGTTTCAAATGACGTAAATGCAGCTGCACAGGTTAACTTGTCCATGCTTTAAATTTTGGGGTTTTTGTATTTTAGAGTCTGTAATTAAAGCAAGCGCTAGTGGAGATCATTTTAGACCTGGTGGAAACCAAGATCGGGAGTAAGTAGGGTAACTGCTCAAAGGTTTGTTCCATTGTTTCACGTAATTCAGCAATCCCGAAGTGATGCACATTGCCTTGACCAACACAGTCTGTTATTTTCAGCTCAAACCCGAACAACCACAGTTTGGGCTTGGGGGGAATGGAGAAAGTCACTGCAACTTCTGAAGACTTTTGTCCCCAAGCTAAACTGATTAATCGTTATCAAGAGTGGAAAAAAGCATGCATGTTGCAGGAAAAGACCATTTCAGGAGCCCCGATTTTGCTAAATTACTAGCATGCCACTTAATGCAGCGAAGGCTCCTATCGTGATATCAGATACATTTTTGCATAGTTACTGCAAAAGTTAATCATGTCTATGCTAGAGAAAAGGGCATGCACTGAAAGAAGACCGACCCATGCAGTAATGAGAAAATGAAACACAATTTTGCAGAAGACAAACAAATAAAATTATTAATCTGCTCATGCAGAGGTAGGGAAAACTGAAGTAGTAAATAGATTAAAATAAACACAGTAACAGATAGATAACAAAAGGACCAGGCTTTTTCCAAAAGAACACCAAAACTGTGTAATATCAGAGACCTTGAGAAAATGCTGTTTATCCCCTTGTATTTACTTATCCCCTTATTATATTGTATATACGTAGCGTGTGCTTTTTAGGGGCAGGGCAAGCTGCTTACTCTGAAGTGCTGTGTAAGTTTAAGACGCTGTCTAAAAATAAAGACCAGGGAGAATGGGTTTTACCAGGTAAGTCCTGCACACCCTGGTTAACCTCAGTGTTGTTAACACTATGTGAATAGCGAGGGTTGTCACTGAGAAGATACAAAGCCAAATTTGAAGTCTCTAACTCACCTGAACAATGCAAAAATCCATTGGCATTTCCTGGCATGTCCTTCTGTGATTATATAATGAGGTCACATTTATAAATAAAAACCTAAAAAACAATAGAGCAGGCATGTGACTTCCTTTGTTTCCCATGAATTCTGCACTGCACTTGGGATTTCCAGTCTTGGAACAGCCACAGAAAGATCCAACAGCTGAAAATCAGAGTGAAAATCAGGGATCTCATCTTTCCCATTATGGATTCTTTCAGACCTGTTATCAGCTTCTTCCTTTTACAGCTCACCTCTCTGAAGTGGTATCTACCCTGGCCTTTGTGCTACAGAAAATCCACCTCCAGGACACCAATAATGAGCACAGCAGAGAATTGCCCCACAGTATAAAAGAAAACTAGAACAGGCTGAGGTGACAGAGTCAGTTTAGAAATGGACCAAGCAAACCATGGTGACCCAGCCGGCCTGTAATGTGTGCATTTCACAGGGATATGAGAAGGCAACATTATCAGAGTTTCTTTAACAATTTGAACTGTCACATTGAGAAAGACACAAGATTTACAATACTGGATTAAGATTGTGCAGAAGCAGCCCCTTGTGACTCTGTTGTGCTGTCCTGCATAGTAGCAGACCCTGAGTTCTAACACCTCCATCTCACACTGTGAATAAGTCAATGATTTATTCTGTAAGCTTGCTTAGCAGCACGTCCTCTTGGTATTCAGGCTCAACTCAAAGTCACTGGGCCAGAGTCCCTCAGGTGATTCCAAGCAACTTCTGCAAAATTTGCAAAAGAAAATAATCTTCGAGCCCATTTATTGGCATACACAAGTTTCTAGAGCACATCTGGATACATACAGTTGACCCGAAATTTCTTCTGTACACCTAAGGTCATGACTCCAAAGAATCCTCTTTTGTTTCTAGCCTTGAACACCTCTGCACCTAAATAGACGCTCCTGCCATAGCAGGGCACTTAATGCATACTGATAAACAAACCAAAGTCTCAGATACACGCTGAAGGGTGCGTAAGAGTAAACAGGTAGACTGTTCTGCGCTTTACAAGAGAGGATCAGAAGAATACATTCCTACTGCTAGTTAACGGCCAAAATTACCGTCTGAGAGACTGTCAAGAAAATTAGACAAGGAGGGAACCTGTAGAGTTAGCATGGGTATTTCAAAAGATGCATTAGTGAATAATGCATGTGTAATATATGTGCAAATATAACAGCCACCTTTTAGTACAAAAAAGGTATTTTAATTCATTAGAAAGGATCTTCTGCATGGCAAATTGTAAAAATAAACACAGTGTATGTATCATCAGATTATTTTACAGAATTCCATACGCAAGAAAATTTTTTCCACTTGACCACACTTCTGAAATGCTTTTAATTATTGGTGGCAAGGGATGAAAAGGAAAAAGCCTGACTCAGTTTGCATGACCGATAATTGGAAAAAAGGCTTTTGGTCAGTTGAGCAAATATGATCTGGAGTCACTGACACATAAATGTGAAATCTCCCAGGGAGAAGAGTTACTTTTAAAAATAAAGTCATGCTTTGAATTCTGGGAGAAGCAAAAGATAGACAATGGATCTTCTAATTCAAATATATTCTAAAAACCTACTGAGTGTTACCGCAACATCAGCCTATTGCAATTAGAAGACACAACCTATTCTCGCACAAAACAGGTATGGAACTGTGCATCTGGAAACGTGTTTAAAGACTGCCCGCTGAGAGCGTACCACTGATAGAAAGCTCCCATCAGAAAGAACTCCCCTAAAACAACACGCAGCTCTCAGCAAATTCTCACAACTCATGTCACAAACGGTTCATCCCACCAAATACTGGTAATTGAGATCTGTTCTCCAAATGACTGCTACTCTCTAGGTTGTCTTAGTGATTCAGGCAACACTTGAAAGTGAGGTCTGGTTTCTGCCAGAACCTCTCTGTTACCCCAAAGGGACATGATGTTGTCTTTCAAAATACTGAACTGATTCTTTAAATCAGTGTGCAAGAGAGGAGGAGGATTTATGAGGAAGTCAAACCCAGCACTAGTCCCTTTAGCTTCCTAATTTAATACTAAATTGAGCATAACAGCACCCATGTAGCAATCCTTACAGCAGAAATTACTTCATCAGAGCAAACAGCAGTCATCGTATGTTTGTACAGGAGCTAATGCTTTCTCCCACTGGTATGAGGAAGTGAAAAGCACCCCACTGAAGAATTTCGAGCAACGAGTCAAACATCAGATGCAGTGAAGAGAACATACAAAAATCCCTACAAGAGCAGCAAGAGAGAGACCACTGAGATCCCAACTCTCACCACCAGGGCAGTGATACACGCTTATTTGCTTGAACAGTCAATCAATTAGGAATCAATTATAAGGTATCTTATGAGTAACAGCTAGCTATGTTTGCTGTGCACGCACACTAAACGTAGCAGAAGAGTTTTAGTCTCTGTCTCTACAGCTCAGTTAACGGTCCCATTATAAAATAACCTCCCATTGTAAAAAATCTCCTCTGTCAGTTCGTACCAGAACGAGATTCTGCCATTGCTGTGCTTCAGTTGCAGAGACCTTCACAGTAAGACACTGGGGAAGAGACCCACGAGGACAGAATACTCCCCCAAGACACTGCTGAAACCTGTAACAGATGAGGGCTGTGATATTCCTTGCCCATTGTCACCAGGTTAACCTTTCACCTGCATGACTCAGTGCTTCCATTTGCCCAACCTGTGATAAGCTGGAAATGAAATCACTTTGACAGCTATAAAAGGTCAGTTGTAGAAACAACGTATTTGTTTTAGCTCAGTACCTTACCTACAGCATCTGCTATTCGTTGCCATATCAGTGCTTCCACAAAGGAAAATCAGATTCCTCATCGCAGTGGAACGCCGATGATACCTAGCCCAGGAGCCCGCATCTTACCACAGCATTTGTGAAACTACATCCTCCAGCTGCAAGAACAGAATCTGGAGATGATTTTACAAAACTCCTGAGGATGCATTCAGGACATCTGAAGTAAGGAGGGAAGACAAGCTGAAGACAACCTTCCAAGTGCCATATGCAAGCATTCGCAAGTAAATGGAACCTTACAGTGCTGTGAATGGTGCAATCAGGCATTAAGACATGGCAAACTGTTACTGGCAATGATTCATCAACCCTTCACTCACAGAAAACCTGACCTCCGCTCTATCTGTAAGACCTTGCAGAACACTCATGTCAAGATTTACTGGGTTTTGTCACGCTTCATGAAGGCATGGCGGTAAGTATGATGTGTTTAGGTGCATCAGTCCCTCTGATCTTATCAACACAGATGAACGTGCCAGAGAGAGGCAGTCCTCAAGAGAATTAAGATCTGTCAGTAACTGGCTGTTACTTGAAATACATGGCTGACTTTTCAGTATCAGGATTTTTCTCCCCCACACAGCAACAAATGTAAATTATTTGGCACATCACCAAAAAAACAATTTCTCATCTCAACCAAACCTGATATATCGCTATGATAAACTTAAAGATTTTCTGTTATTCTTACACACTTATATTTACGAGAATACTTGCACACATTTCAAAAGAGAGAGATCTTTGTAAAGTTATATGGATTTTATGACTGAATTGGGAAAGGTTAATAACTTCCCAAATGGAAAAGCCATCAGCAAGTTAGGCTCTCGGTCCCAAATGTGCAGGCCTTTGAGCAGTGACGCAGATGTCTTTCCCACAGAAGTATGTTTGTATATTAAAAAGGAAAAAAAACCTGATCTACAGTCCAGGGTCCTTGCAGGACTTCGTGCTACAACTCCAGCATACGGCAATGAATCAAAAATTTTCAGCTATACTAGTTTAAAGGATATTCCAATTGCTCTCATTACCACTGACCTTTTACTAACACACAGAGCGCTGACCTGAGCTAGGGTTGAATAATCCCCTGCCACGGAAAACTGCTGTTGCAAAGCCAAAGAATATTTGAGATACCTGACGTAACGAAAAGATAACCAATGGCACATGTATTCTTTCCAGGCATGGTTTATTGAAAACACACCAAATTGTTATCCTACATACCTGGTTTCTA